AACCCACACGAATGCACTGCAACTGTTGATCAAAAGTAAAAATTGCTAATTGGACCTCTTCCCAACACGGAAAACCAACAATCAGGAATGCATGATTATATGGTGTCTTTGCAATCCAAAAATATTATATAATGGAAGTCAATGGGGCAAAAACAGCCACTAACAAAACAAAAGGGTAGTCAATTTACCCAAAGTGAACTAAGTTTTTGAAAACTTTCAAAGCATTTTCCCAAAATATCTGTCAAAATACGTTTTGGCACCAAAAATCATTTCATTGTCCTGAAACGTTGATTATGGACTGAGCACCGGAATGGTGTGTAGACCCTATTGGAACAGCTTCGTCTTCTTCTTCTCCACCTGTGGAATGAATCGTGATTTTAAGTGTCTGCACATGCCAGAAAACTCCCGAAACTTTGTACGCCCTGGAAGTGGCAACAATTTACGTTTGTTATAGGTTTTGGAAAGGGGTGTGGCAAAATGACTCGACAGCGCTACCTACAGTATGGATCTTTGATGGACGACTCTGATTCAAGCCCACATACGAAAATTGCCACACACATCAAACATGCCTAAACCTACAAAAAAAAAGTCTCAAAATCTCAAACCCAACAGGAAGTCCGATATTTGTAACTTCTTGTGCCGAAAAAGTGCAGTTTTTGGCATTTCCAGGTGTTGTATTTTAACGACCTCCTCCTAGGGATTTAATCGGATCAACACCAAAATTGGCTATTGCCTTGGCAATGTTAAACTGCGAAGATCTACAGTTTTCGTTAAAGGGCGTGTCCGTGGCGGCGTCACAAACTTTGATTTTCGCCACAAAACAGGAAGTTGTTATAACTCAGACATGCACAATCCAATCTGCTTCAAAATTCACACGTTTGAGAACAGTCTTGACCTGAACACATTTACATGCCAATATCCAGTTACAGTTATAGCGTCACCTGCTAGCAACAGGAGGTGTCATGTTTTACAGTGTAACAAACTCCTCCCACAAATTTTATCACATCGAATCCAAGTTCAATTAGTTTAATCCAAAGGCCTTTGTGATGCTAAATTGCGGACTGACAAAGTTCAATGTTTCACCATGGAGGAGGAAGAACTTATAACTCAGCCAATCAATGTCTGACCTTCCTGAAAATTCACAGGCTCGATGAGATTCCTCTCTTGAAGACATCTACATGCAAATATTAAGTCACAGTTATAGCGCCACCTGCTGATAGAAAGAAGTTTGGCATACATCAGTGATTTTCTCAGATTTTTTATGTAAATCAGCTTAAATTATTATTGTCCACTGTTCTCTGTCATCCTAAGGACACCGGATGGCTGTGAGTCCATTTGTGAGGTCCCTTTCATCGCTGCTTGCAGCTTTAATTGTTTCCATTGTGCTGCGCTATTTATTTTCTGTGGTCTCTATTTCCACCTGGGGATGCCCATCCTGAGGCCTCAAGAGACTGTGCAGCAGCATTGTTGGGGATCCAAGACCTGCAAAGAGATGATGCCAACCATCGAGGACTTCGAGGACAACACATACACAATACACTACATCCAACATGTACACATATACATCACTTATATGCTATAAAATAGCAGGTTAATTATGGATGTATATAATAACTTAAATTTGATTGTATTTTTAGCTTAATTTCATTAATGCAATAAAGTGCACCTTTTGTAAAGCTGCTTTGTAACAATAATTAAAAATAAAAACTTTACAAATAAACTTGAATTGAATTGAAACCCAAAGTCTTGATTTGTAGCCAAATCAAGACTTAATATTACCCCAGGGTGGAAGAAAACATCCCCAACAGCACACAAGGGTTAAGAAATTTAGGAAAATCTGAGGTGCAGATGTAAAAATACAACAGGGCAAACTGACATCAGCGCTTATTAGTCGAAGAGAGCCATTTGTTGCATTAGTAGTCTGACAGCGAATCAGCGTTGGTGGAAATATAGTCCTATATTTTCTTAGAAGAGCAGTGAAGATGAGAAACAACATGACACCGCTCTCACGAGTAGCCGGACCATCCATATTTCTGCCTTATTGCTTGATTAGTATGTGCACAGCCGCCTCAGTCTCACTTATAATACCAAGTAGGCAGAAGCTTCCAGTGTTGAATATGAGATCCCGTTTCCTCCCAGCTGAACTAATTATGGAAAGCATTTTAAATGTGCCATTTCCATAAACTAGATCTCTCCTCCCTCTTCAGGGAGCTGGAAAGAAAAACTTTTTTTTCCCCTTCTTCCTGTGCCGTCATGGAAATATGTTATGCTTAGGCCGTCCTATGAAGAACGCATGAAATATTGATGACCGCCCACTGCAGGAGTCATGTCGAGAAGTGCATAACGTTCATGTTGTTAATTTACACTGATCGAATATGTGTGGGTCTCAATGTGAATGATGGCAAATTGGCATCAATAAAAAAAGCAAACATTCCATCAGATGTTCAAGTACTTTTAAATATCGTTCAATAAACATGAACGCAACAGATGTTTGTTATTAATTTAATAACTGCGGAATTGACAGGACTGGCAAACGCTTTAATGCGGTGCCGAAAGATCTGATGGAATGACTCATTGTGTGCTGTTTTAACATCTAATAGACAGCATTTAAAAGGGGGTGGTTTACCCAGAAATGAAAATCTAGTGTTGGTTTACTCTCCCGCAGGCCATCTAACATTTAGAGGACTTTATTATTCAGTAGTACATTAAAGGAGACTTTTCATTTTCTTTTTTTTTTATTGCTGTGGTCTTTGATAATTCATTATTCATTTTTATCCAGCTTAGTCGCTATTTCAGAAGGCGCCACAGTGGGATGAACCACTAACTATTCCAGTATTTATAGTTTTTGTATACTGCGGTTGGTTTTTGTGACAGAAAGTTCTCAAAGTGAAGTTTATTCATAAACTAATTTCGAGAGGAGCATGTGATTATGATTGAACACGGCTGGTTCTGCATTAGAATGCATGATCCACCAATCAGGCCATTCCTAACCCACTATAAAGAGCCAGGGTTTTTTCAATACAGTCATCTTCGATTTGAAGAATCCCCCCTTCCACCCCTACCTCTTCACCTTTCCCTCCATAGGGCAGCACGGTGGCCCAGTGATTAGCACTGTCGCCTCACAGCAAGAACGTCACCGGTTCTAGTCCTTTAACAGGCCGGTGGTCGTTTCTGTGTGTAGTTTTGCATGTTCTTCCCGTGCTTGCATGGGTTTTCCCCGGGTCCTCCGGTTCCACATTCCAAAAACATGCACAACAAGTTAATTGATAAATCTAAATTTTGCACTACAGTTAATCTCTCACCATGCAGCATATTGTTTTATAGCATTACATTTTTAGTCATCCGTTTTTATCAAGGGGGAGTTCTGCCTGAGCTCAAGGCTCCCCTCTCGCCCTCCAAACGGGAGGGAGCCCAGGGCTTAAGAACCTTTGAGCTCAGGGCTCTCTCCCGGGACAGCATGCCAAACTTGCTTATAATCAATCATCAGCTAAGTGTGAACTCTTGAAGTACAGTTTTATCCTACATTTAAAAAAAAAAAAAAGAAATGAAGGTGTAGGTTGTTAAATGCAGATCTTCTCGATTAAAAAAAAAAAACAAAACACCTGCAAGTTCTGAACGAGATCAAACCTCCGGCAGGTTTGGAAAAGTCATGCAAAAGTAACTGAAAAGTAACTCATTACTTTCTAAAAAAAAGTAAACAAGTAGCCCAAATAGTTACTTTTTTGGGGGAGTAACTCAATATTGTAATGCACTACTTTCCAAAGCAACTTCCGCCAACACTGATTATAACCAGTATTTTTGGAAACTATTGTATTTGTGTGTGTGTGTGAGAGTGGCTTTCTCTTTATCGCAGTGTTGCATCATTAGCTTGGCAGCATGAAATAGTCAACTTTACTTGAATAAATTATGATTTGGCTTTCCTTTGACGCTGCCTATGAAGAGCTCTCCAAATCCATCATTCATGACATTTTCCTCTAGTTAGTACGTTTTCTCAGAAGGTAGCTGCCTACATAGGCGGTGCTCTAGCTGTTTGAATCAGTTGACTCACAGGTTTTGTACAGCAATTGTATCTCTGCAGCACTCAAATGTCATGATTATGAAAGAAGCCAACTAGAGGCTCCACAAATAGGAGCTGCATTCATGTCTCAGGGCTGACATTGACCTTTTGGGAAACATATGACACATTTCCCCTTCGAGGCTCCTTTGTGTTAGTGCAGACAAGTCCAAATCCAATGTGGAAATCAATAAAATAACCTCTGGGACAAGGTTTCTTTTGGTTCAAACACCGAGAAGTCACTGTTTGAGAAGACACATGCTAATTAGCTTGCTGAAAAGGTGCAAAATAAACCGTTTAAATAGACACCCGAGGGTATCTTTGATGGCGAGCTCTTCAAATCAGCCTAAAAGACAGTGCTGGATCTTGAATGACTGACAGATCGGATCTGTGCGCATGGAGCTGTGTTCAGCATTTCGATCATTTGTTTGTATGCGATTCCCACTGTTCTGAATCCGTGCCGGAGGCTCTGAGCAGGCAGAGGTTTGCGTGTTATCTAATTCCATGCAGTCATGGTTCACTTTCCCAACGCTGTTGCAACATTTCCGTTGCAACAGAAATTATGCACAGTTAAATCATCCCTGATCGAATCGGTGGAAATGTCCCGGAGCTGCCTTTGACTAGCAGAGAAAGCAGACTTTAGTGTCAAGAACGTATCACACAAATGATGAATGATGTAATGAGTGAAGCGCCAGAAGTTTTGTGCATAAAACAGTCGCAACCTTTAATAAAAAGTTGACTGGAACAAATGACAGCCCTTTTTTTGTGTTTGTTACAAAGTCAACATTCGGGATTGCTCAAACCCTGTACACGCACAACAAAACACACACACACACACACACCCACTGGTGTTATTGATCCTGTTTAGTGGTTCAAATCTCAGGGCATTGGAGCCAGACCACTAAGACAAATAAAAGTGAAAATAACGGGAATCGTTCAGCGCAGTGGAGATGTCTTGGGTTTAATCGCATTCGGGTCAAACACGTCAACTGCACCATTATCTCTCATATACACATTTCTCACACACACACACAGTCTGAATAGTGCAGACTAGTTCTGTATCCTGGCATGAGGAAGACAGATGTTAAAAAAGGCCCACAGGGGGCGTTAAAGAACACTCTGAGTTCGTATAAAAGCAGTTTTTTCGCTGTGAAATTCCAGCTCTTCGCTGTCCGACTCAGAGTTCATCCCTCCCGCCGCATCCTCATCCCCCCACACAGTGGGAATCCCCCGATACGACACTTTCCCCCGGTTGAGTCCAAACCCAAAACCCACTCGAATCCCCCCTCGGCCTGTGTCGATCACTGGCAGTTTGGTCCTCCGACAGAAGGGGGCGCTGGCTGCACCGGAGTGCAGCTGAAGCAGCACAAAAACGGCTGCAAAAGTGGCCAGGATGAAGGCACAGCTGAGCACCGCCACCAGCGCCGGCAATCTGGAGGAAAGCCCGGGATCACGCAATGATTCCTCCGAGCTGGAATCCGCCTCGTGCTGGATCACGGGAATGCTGGGGGATTTTCTCTGCACCTGGTTCTGGTGCAAGCAAGAAGTGGCCACTAAGTGACTGTGTGGGGGGCAGGACAGACACTCGTTCTCTCCGGAGCCGGAGCACGTCAGGCAGGCCGGGTGGCAGGGCAGGCACGCCTGTACAGTCGAGTGCTCCACCCAGTTGTCCAACGACAAGTTGAGCACCTGCGGCCCAGAGATGAAGCCCGGAGGACAGGACTTCACACAGCCTTGCAGGAAAAGAGAGAAACCCGTGCTGCATTCTGCAAAACAGAGATCGGGAGAAGGTGTAATATTAGATGTTGTTATGACTGTGGAAAGAAGTAAAAACAGCATGTGAAACACATTCAGCTTTCGAAAGATCAGCCATTCCACAGGTGTTGTATGCAAAATTAGACAAATAACTGCATAGTGCAAGGAAAAAGGAATTTATTTTTTATTACTTTTGTGTCTTTATTTTTTTATTAGAAAAAAATAGACTAACAACAGATTAATCAATCTTTTTCTTTTGTATGATACTATATATTAACCATACATACTTCTTCTTTCTTACTGTGTTGCATACTTCTTAGAAGAAACTGCTGACAGGAGGGAAATAGCAGAATAAGAATAAAACTAGAACCTAAAGTTCGTAGACAAACTTTGATGTTGGCTTGAGAAAGCCAACGTGACTGCGCCGGGGACTCAAAGGCAGTTGGCAGGAAGCACAGCGGTTGAGAAGTGGTTGCTAGGCGGTTGCTAAGGTGTAGCTAAGGCATTCCTAGGTAGTTGCTAGGGTGTTCTGAGTGGTTTCTAGGCTGTTGCTAGGGTCCACTGGACTGTTAATCGGAAGGCCTCATTTACATTTTTGATCAAATCGAGAGAGAGAGAGAGAGAGAGAGAGAGAGAGGACTGATTTGTTCAGGTTGTTTAATGCAGATCACTATAGTATAGTTAGTATTTATAGTATATATTATAATCTGAACAAAATTACATTATAATAAATATCATATAAAGAAAAATATTAAATTAAAATACTAATGAAACAATAGCACATATATTTAGTTAATTTGTCTTTTATTTAATCAGTCTTATCAGTTTTGCAGTTAATATAGAGTACAGTCAATTTACAGTAATTTGCAGCGTTATATATATAGTTATATAGTTATATATACAGTTTACAGGAAGAAAATCGCATTAAATACAATATTAGGCCGTCTTCATCATGTGGTTAATTCTGACCAATGACGTTGTTTCACCCCACTGGCCACTAACACAATGTTATAATCGTAATATTTAATTGTCATCACCTGGGTGATTTTATTTATTTTTTTGGTACAGCATAGGCCAAAAGCTTGGCTTTCATTGTCATTATCACAAGTGAGGAGAAGGCTTTTTTGCGGTACAGAATATTCTGTTTTGAAAGAAATATCTGAAGTAAACTTATGTTTTTGCCAACATAAAAGGGGGATAAAAAATAATCCTTATAACCCTAACCATAAATGTGTGTGTGTATATATATATATATATATATATACACACACACACACACACACACACACACACACACATATATATATATATATATATATATATATATATATATATATATATATATATATATATACACACACACACACACACATATATATATATATATATATATATATATATATATATATATATATATATACACAGTTGAAGTCAGAATTATTAACCCCCAGTTGATTTTTTTTTCCCTTTTTTAAATATTTCCCAAATGGTGTTTAACAGAGCAAGGAAATTTTCACTGTATGTCTGATAATATTTTTTCTTCTTGAGAAAGTCTTATTTGTTTTATTTCGGCTAGAATAAAAGCAGTTATTAATTATTTAAAAACCATTTTTGGGACACAATTATTATCCCCTTTAAGCAATTTTTTTTGATAATCTACAGAACAAACCATCGTTATAAAATAACTTGCCTAATTACCCTAACCTGCCTAGTTACCCTTATTAACCTAGTTAAGCCTTTAAATGTGACTTTAAGCTGTATAGAAGTGTCTTGAAAAATATCAAGTCAAACATTATTTAATGTCATCATGGCAAAGATAAAATAAATCAGTAATTAGAAATAGGTTTTTAAAACTATTATGCTTAGAAATGTGCTGAAACAATCTTCCCTCCATTAAACAGAAATTGGGGAAAAAATAAACAGGGGAGCTAATAATTCTGACATCAACTGTATGAATATATATATATATATATATATATATATATATATATATATATATATATATATATATATATATATATATATATACACAGGGCTCGAAATTAACTTTTTTACTTGGTAGCACCGGTGCTCCCAACTTCAAATATTCAGGGGCACCAAAATAAATTTAGGAGCACCAGAAAAAATTTAGGAGCACCCACCAAAAATGAATGAGCACCGCTGCAAATTGCTTTTTAAGGGATTTATTGTATTTTAAAACAACATCAATAGGACTGACAAAAACCAGAAACAACTATCTAACTAATGCTGCGAAGACATTGATATTTGTGTGCAATAATTCTAAAATGAATGTCTAATAATTAGGCCATAGAATATTAGTGATGATGAAAATGACAATAATAGTAACAATGAATTCCATTTCTCATTATGATACTGCCTTGAATGTGCATGAATGTAGGTTATCTGCTATAAAAAGTCTGTTACTTTATATAAAATAATTGTATAGTTTGCATCAAACAAAAATGAAGCATTGCAGTAAGAAATATTGATTTTGTGCTGCTGTTTTTATATGCATGTCAATTTAATAAATAATATTTCTGCTACAAAACAAACAAAAGATTATAATAAATAATTCAATTCAATGATGAAAGCTGCAAAGCAGTCATCAGTAAATAAATAAAGAAATAATATACACCTCAAAAAAGAATAGACAAAAGAAAGAAAGTAAAGTCTCACTTCTATCACTCTTTAAAAGTTTTGGTTTCAGTTTGTGTCAATTTAAAGGTTCAGTCTGAGATGATCTTTATTTTTCGGTGTTTGTGGAAAAGCTGGCGAGTCAGCCGACCCAATTTATGAGCAGGCAGAGCAGGATTCTTGCACTAACCATCGGCGCAATACCGGTCTTTGTTATGAGCCGCAGTTTCAGTGATCTCAGCTGGTGGATCATTATTCACCACGTGACGTGTCACGATCTCTCTCATCTACACCTCAATTTTAGGTGGGGTTTGCAAACCTGTGTGCTTTAAGTTTTTACTCTTCAGCCGTTTGCATTTCCCGTGGTCATAAAAGCTCCTTCCCTGTCATCTGACAGCGGAATACCTTGAGTGATTGACAGCTAATATGAACCAATATAGCGGCAGGGAAGAGCGATTCAGCACGTTTTTACAAAAAATCAAAACAGGTCGCACTACAACCATCTGCAGTCGCACTAATGCGCCCAAATATGTTATGAGGTCGCATAGATTAATTTTCAGGCGCATATGCGACCAAAATGGTCGCAATTTCAGCTTCAAATGTTGTAACAAGCACGTCTGAAATGAGCCCGAATTTCTGTAGATTCAAAACAGTCAGTCCGGATATCCCCTCCTCTTAAAGGGCCAGTACTAAATTACAAAGGGCTAAAAAATGGTTCTCTGGCGCCATCTCGTGGACACTCTGACACGCTTTGAGTCTGAATTTTACAAATTTAATATAAAAAAAATATTTATAGGAAAACTGTTATTTATAATTACACCAAATAAATATGATAATTATCTTCAATTTAAAGCACATCTTTTGGCCAAATTTGAGGATTGTATACTTTTTTATATGCCCCAAATACTCGATTGTAATATTTACAATTTTTTAATTAAAAAAATTTTTAATTCAAAAACTACAAATCTTATCGGCATGAGGACATACAGCAACCATCTCATGGGCAATAGACAGCTTTTGACCAAATTTGGGGCTTGTAGCATCTAAGCCCTGGGAGGAGAAGCGATTGCTTTTTTTTGGTCAGAAGCCGGAATAATAATAATAATAAGAATAATAATAAGAATAAGTTTAAGTAGCATTACAGTATGTTGGCTTTCTCAAGCCAACATAAATAGTGCGGGGGGGCTTTGCTTTAGACTTCTGTCTAATAAGAAGTCTAGACATATCACAAGGAGCATGATGCCTGTAGAAGTTGTGAAACATATTGTAGGTCACTTAACTGTTGAGTTCTGGTATGCAGAGAAGGGGTGCAGAAAGAGGAAGTATGTTTGGGTACATGAGCCAAAGGACTGCAGAATGACTGATAAGTGAGGTTACACCAAAACTCCACCTGTTAATATCCGTTGTGCATATATGCTGAAGTCAGGGAAATGTAAGTTAGTTGCCAACCTCCTCAATGTAATTATTGTATTGCATTGGGGTAACATAACCCAGATCTCTGTGCTCGAATGATTCATTTGTGTCTAATAAATTACAAACATTTTTGACATTGAAGAAAAAAAAACCTTTTCTGACCTTTTTTTTTATTGAACATGCATGGAATTGGCTGGACATTCCAATAATAGTCATGCATAATTTATCATGATTAAACGTCTCACAAAAATAATGACAATTATGTTAATCATCTCTAAATTAGTTGCAAGGCATTGTTTGATGGTAAAAGTACTTTTTTCACGTATCGCTGGAAATTACAGCCATTTTGAAGACAAATATCACCAGAAAACTTTGGAAGTACTGTAAAGTGATACTTCTGAGAGAAACAGAGTTGGCTACGATATTAGTTTTCCTCATTCTTGTAGCAATGGTTGTGTCAGAGAAAGCTTGAAGGCTGCATTTGCTCGATCAAAAATATATAGTAAAATTTACAGTAATAAAGTAAACAGTAAAATTGCGAAGTTCTACATTTTAATATTTAGGGTTTTTAATATATTTAAAAATGCAATTTAGTTTGGAAATTATATATATATATATATATATATTAAATTAAGCTGTGTTCATAGCTTGTTGTGATGAAGATGAATATAGAAATGACCACTTTGGAAAAAACTTTACAATAAGGTTGTGAACCTTAGATGTTAATTTATGCTGCTTTAGTGATTCTACGATAATTTTTTGGCAGAACTTGCATAATTCATAGACTGAAATGTTTTCGCAGTGTAGACAAACCATGGGGGAAAAATAATCAGTTTGTTTGTTGTCATACTGTAGATAACGTTTCATTAAGCATAATGAGTTGCATTTGTCAGACTAGCCCTACTAGCAGCTATAAAACGTAAAACTTTGAGATGGAAGGATTCTTTTTTTTTTTAATAATTATTTTTTTGGAGTTTTCATACTTATTTTTAATAGGACAGTAGAGAGTATTGACAGGAAAGCATGGGGAGCAGAGAGAGGGGAAGGATCGGCATAGGACCGCGAGGCGGAATTGAACCCGGGTTGCCGCGAGCACCAGAGTGCATGTATCGACGCACTAACCACTACACCACTGGCGCCGACGAGATGGAAGGATTCTAAACCACCTTCTACTTCCATGTTGATTAAAGAGTCGTCATCTTATATGCCACTGGAAACAATTGCGTTTCGTTTGAAAAAGCGGCAAGATTAGTTTGTCAAATACCAGTGCAGCTTCATTTCATACTTGGATAGAACAGGACAAAATGCTTAGAACGAACCTGACTTCTATGTTTTCCTGTTTAATTTTATTCATGGTTTATTTTTGGCACTACGGGTTGGAGGTTTGGGGTATGTACAGGACAGTATGTGTGGGGATGAAAGATCTATTTAGATTCATCTGTACTTTGTGTTTAATTGGAAAAACTCAATAAACAAAGTTCAAGATGTTCATTATGAGTGCATTGTTAAAGAATTACAATATTTTACTACCGTTTAATAATAGTACTGTTAACTAGTACTGTTTATAAACATTAATAAACGTTTTGTGTAATATAATACTATAAATATAAAATCAAATATTTAAAAATGTTGTTTAAAAAAAAGTGTTGTTTAACACTAAAGACTATGACTGTGTCCGAAATCACCTACTGCTCAGTAGGTACTGCATTTGAATTTAAAGCTACGACGCGGCTGTTAGAAAAGTACGTTCTATATAGTATGAATGTAAGTAGTATGAATGGAACTCGGACATGCTACATCCGCCATTTTGTCATCATCCCTTGACCATTGGTGCATCAGTTGCGTCGATTCACTTTCATTCATGAATTCATCCCCCATGCATCGCATGGGATAGCGTAGCGTGCATCGGATGCGCACTTCAGGATCTCGCCGGAAGTAGTAGTTCATCGGGGTACTTCTCACATACTGATTTTAGAATTCTATTAATTCGGACATACTACTCGACTCGCATACTGTTTTTAGCGTTCTATAGTACAAATAGTAATGTAAACAATATGTAAACAATACATTGAAGTGTATTGTTTACTGTTAATTTTTGTTGTGTTGCCCATAATGTACAACTTTTGTTTTTACAAAAGAACAACACACAACAATCAAAAACAAATGCATGATGGCAAATATTTCTAGTTTGTAGTGAATTTAATGTCACACAAATATCAGGCATTAGCACAACTTGTCTGCTTCTGAAGTGTTTTCTTGTTCAGCTCAACTGCTGTCAAGCTTGGAAATTGCAAGTAGTTAAATTGTCAAGATCTTCATTGCTCGATACCTGCTTAAAAACAATGCTATAGACATCTGAAGGTATTTATCATCGCATCCTTCATTAGTTTGTTGTCAACAAGACAAAGTTCTGCGCACTTCCAATACATGAGCTAAGCACTTAGGCTCCCATTTGCATAAGAGAATGCTACTGGAACAAGTCCAGGTACATTTATTAAAGTTAATAAGGTCATTTCATGTTGTGCTCTCATTTCTGCTCCAAATGGGACAAATTATTCCTCTAGTAAAAATCAGTCGTACATGCAGCAAAAGTGAAAACGCCTTGTCCTTGAGAACCTTCAAGTACTGCCCGAACAATATGGGGCCATAATGGAGAGATCAATCATCAAGTTTAACCCAGCAACTTCAAATAATAAATTTACATTCACCGGCCACTTTATTAGGTACACCTGTCCAACTGCTCATTAACGCAATTTTCTAATCAGACAATCGCAAGCATCAGAATGGAGAAGAAAGGTGATTTTGAACGTGGCATGGTTGTTGGTGCCTGATGAGCTGGTCTGAGTATTTTAGAAACTGATGATCTACTGGGATATTCACACACAACCATCTCTAGGATGTACAGAGAATGCTCAGAAAAAGAAAATATCTAGTGAGCAGCAGTTCTGTGGGTGCAAATGCCATGTTGATGTCAGAGGTCGGAGGAGAATGGCCAGACTTCTGTTACAAGCTGATAGAAGCTCGTTCGAGCTGATAGAAAGGCAACAGTCACTCAAATAACCACTCGCTACAACTGAGGTATGCAAAAGAGCATCTTTGAACGCACAACACATCCAACTTTGAGGCAGATGGGCTACAGCAACAGAAAACTACACTGGTACCACTCCTGCCAGCTAAGAACAGGAAACTGAAGCTACAATTCGCACAGGCTCACCAAAATTGTACAATAGAAGATTGAAAAAACGTTGCCTGGTCTGAAGAGTCTCGATTTCGGTTGCGAAATGGTAGGGTTAGAATTTGGCATTAACAACATGAAAGCATGGATTCAAGGCAGATTAAGGCAGTTCTGAAGGCAAAAAGGTGGTCCAGCCCGGTACTAGTAAGGTGTACCTAATAAAGTGGCCGGTGAGTGTAGAAATCCGTTTAACAAACTAAGGCTTGTTTACCGCCCTCTGAAGGTTGAGAAGGTGCAATTCAAGATTGAGGATATAAAACATTCGCATTTCTTTAATAAAACAAAATTTAAAATCTAAATGAAACCTCTCAGGCGTCACTCCCGAGTGTTTTGCAATATTCATACTCATAAACATATATCAATATTCATAAGCTCAAGGAGTAGTCAGACTGAGACATTTCTATATGACAGAGAGGTTTTGCCAAGGGAATTACTCTGTGTGTGTGTGTGTGTGTGTGTGTGTGTGTGTGTGTGTGTAAACCTTCTGGTCATGAATGTCATTGAGTGTTTATTTGTAAGATTTATGGTGTGTGTTTCTTACCAATGCAGATCTGCTGTGTGTCGAAGGTCTTGCAGCTGTTGTTTGAAGGTCTGGTGTAGTCAGAAACGGACGGATCTGTGGCACTAGAGCCAGTGCCGTATAAGATGAGAGTGAACTGAGAAAGAACGCCTGCAGGAAAAATGATGAACTTTAGATACTATGAACACCAACAAACACACACATGACACCAACACAGCACAACAAATCCCTTTTTTGGTCTTGTTTAGTAGTAGAACTGGACATTCTTAAAGATCAGGCTTTGTTTTCAGAAAATATACATCCACGAAAAAAATGAAGAGACCCCTGGTGCATTATACATTGACGATCAGAGAGGTCAACTTTTTCAGTAATGTTAGTTTTTGTAATACATGCTCCAGTGAATCAAATGTATTTATTTATTTAAATGACATCTAATTTATTAATAAAATGTATTTACGCTAATAATTCTAACTTCAACTGTATATATATATATATATATATATATATATATATATATATATATATATATATATATATATATATATATAATTATAATTATTATTTATTTATTTATTCTTACAAAATTATTGCAGATTTCCAGTTGATTTCCAACAGACCTGGGCATTGATTAAAACATATTTACTTGATCATTGAAATGTTGTTAGGGGCTTTGTTGTAGTTATTGTGTTTATATTGGAGTTTTATTTATTTATTAAATTTTTTTCATTTTCTTGTCGGCCTAGTCCCTTTATTAATTCGGGGGCGCCACAGCGGAATGAACCGCAAACTTATCCAGCAAGTTTTTACGCAGCGGATGCCCTTCCAGCCGCAACCCATCTCTGGGAAACATCCACATTAACACACACTCATACACTACAGACAATTTAGCCTACCCAATTCACCTGTACCGCATGTCTTTGTACTGTGGGGGAAACCGGAGCACCCGGAGGAAACCCACGCGAACGCAGAGAGAACATGTAAACTCCGCAAAGAAACCCTAACTGAGGCTCGAACCAGCGACCCAGCGACCTTCTTGCTGTGAGGCGACAGCACTACCTACTGCACCACTGCTTCACTCTATTTAATTTTTTATGTATTATTTTTTTAAGTTGTCATTATTATAATTTTTTTCTATTATTATCATTTATTTATTATTTTTTGTGAATATGAACATTTAAAGCAAATGTTATGTATATTATGTTTATAATTTTTTTATAAAACAGTAAAAAAAACTAAGATCTGGTTTTCTGCAAATTTCAAATAAAAATATTGAAAGACTCATTCAGAGCATTTTTTTCTTTTGTCTTTAGTTATTTTGACGATTTGATAAAAAAACAGCCCAAAATGACATTTTTATTTAAAAGTAGAAATATCATAAGTACTTTTCAGACACTCAAAAAATGCTTTACATAAACACATAAACTAGAGAATATTGGAAAATTTTATCCAAAATATTGGATATTTTACTTTTTTGCGATAAATATTGCGATATAGACAAATGAATTGAATAGCTCGATTTGACAGTTTTAGGTTTTCTGAGTTGAACATTATTCAGGTACAGAAACTGAATAATTACAATGCAAAAAAATATACTTTTCTTACTTTGTCTTATTTCCTGTCCAAATATCTAAAAATTCTTGTAGGTCAATATTGTTTTGTTTTCGCCTTCAGAAGAAATTAGTCAAAATTTGGAGTTTTTCCTTAAAACAAGCTTAAGTATCTGCCAATAAGATAAATAAAATAATAATATTTTTGCTTAGAAATGTAGATATTTGAACGTTTTTCTCCATAAATCTTATAAATAATTAAATATAATAATTAATCTTTGTTACTCCACCAAAATCACCTCCAAACATCATACTTTTTATAATGTAATGTGTATTTATATAGTGCATTTATTGTGTATGGCCATACACCTAAAGCGCTTTACAATCATGAGGGGGGGTCTCTCCACACCACCACCGGTGTGCAGCATCCACTAGGATGATGCGACGGCTGCCACAGGACAACGGTGCCAGTGCACTTACAACACACCAGCTATTGGTAGAGTGGAGAGACAGAGATACAGCCAATTCAGTGGATGGGGATGATTGGGAGGCCATTATAAGTAAGGGCCGATGGAGGGTGTTTGTGCCCAAACTCTCTTGAAATGCTCATTCCAAGGCCTTAAAAACATGTGATAAACATTCACCCTATTGTGGTTAAACTTAGTAGTGACTCTACAAATCATATGTGTTCTGTAGCTCCTGGTCAACTATAATTCAGCCTCAACATTGCAGATCTTGTGATGCGACTGCTGCCGATGCGCACATTGTAATATCAATGCTGAAATTATATATAGTGCAGCCCTAACACAAACTGTAAATTGTCCATTCAGAGAAACAAAACTATTAATAAATAAATTATTTTTTTTCCCCAAAGCTGTATTTTGAGTGAAGTTTCACAAACTAATTTCGAGAGTAGCACGTGATATGATTGACTGCAGCTGGCCACTCATCTACACTTATTAGCTAGCCAATCAGATGGATCCAAACTCACTCTAAGTAGCCTAGTTAGAACTACTCCCTTATCTTAATTTTTCCAAAGAAACCTCCTATTCACCCCTTCTCCTCCCTTCCTCCTGTACCAGGGGGAGCTCTCGAGAACCACCTGATCTTGTACTCCCCTCACATGCTCTATGGACCTGGGCTCAACTATCTCCGAGCTCAGGGTTCTCTCCCGGGACAGCATGCCAAACCTGCTAACTTACTAAGAAGTTGTCAAATAATATCTAAGTGTGAACTCTTGAAATAAAGTTTATTTTTAATTTCTCATAGGCAAGCTGTTTCTAGTTCCGAGTATAAATCTGATTTTCCTAGGAATACAAATATAAATTTATTATGAAAATACAATATCAGTAGGGAAATACATCTGTTATCTTCTGCTTAAGCACTTTTTTTTGCAAGTGAATGCATCTTCTAGGACGTTTGTGCAGAAAAACAAGACAAAAACCCTCATTAAGGCTAATTTTAGTACCGTAGTCATTAAGTCCAGCCACGTTCTCAATCTCCAGGGTCCATTCTCCACGAGGGTCCTCATCCCAGGAATGAGTGGTCATGAACGCCCAGTCGTTGAATCCTTCGGCTGAGTTATCCTGTGGCCTGAAAACAAACAAAGCAAAAAAAAAAAAACAAAGATCAGCATGTGCTTATCTGGCAACATTAAACAAGATTGCAGGAATCAAATTAATTGAGTGTGTATTTACAACATAAATAATTACATTTCCTGAAGATAACGGGGTGAATTGTGTTTGTGTAGACAGAGAAGTGCATAAATGTGTTTTCCTGGGCATTAGGTGTACTTTCTGAGAGTTTATTTTGAGTCTTTACTTGCAAGTGTGCATTGATTATACGCTAGGGCCCTGTTTACAGCTGGTGTTAAGATGCGTTTTGGTCGATCGGATCTCAAGTAGACGAGGGAGACATTTTCTCCTTTACACATGGTGTTCTAATCCATCTCTTTAGTCCACTTACAACCACTTGCTGATCTATAGGCTGGTGTATGTCTGATCATTCCAACTAATACTGCAAAATAGGCTTGTCAAATGTACATGTGAATGCAAAAGGAGACTAGAAAAAAAATAAAAAGGAGCAGCTTTTGTTTTTGCTCTGACGACGGCAAATTTACATCCCAAAACAGTCAAATTAGGACTGGAGAACATTGTGCTTTATACATTTTGTTTTTGGCTTCAGTTCAATCTTATAATTCTAGATGGTGAATATTACATCCAGTCTGGCGAGCACGCTTCAAACACGCATCACGTAAGGCTTAAGAATCAGTAGGCAGAGAGTAGATGTGTCTCTTGTGGCTGTTCAGATCTATTTCAACCACATGACCGTTTACACGGCGAAAGACATCCATTCAAATGCCTTTTCCACTGCTGCTGCAAAGTTATCAGCCTCAAAATACATCTGACCCCCTCTACAGAAAGCTTTTTCAAGAGTTCACACTTAGCTGATGATTGATAGTAAAGAGAAAGAGAGAAAGAGAGAGCCCTGAGCTTATAAGATCCTCGAGCCCTGGGCTCCCTCCCGTTGCATCTCGATGACTCCCCCTCTTGCTTGTAGCTAAGTGTCGGATATGTATGCTGAAAGGTGTACTCAGAGTTTAGCTAATGTATTTTGATTAATTGTTTAGAGTGCTTGTTTTTGAACTGTGGGAGGAAACCGGAGGACCCGGGGAAAACCCACGCGACCATGGGGAGAACGAGCAAACTCCGCACAGAAAAGCCGTCTGGTTTGGAAAGGAATTAAACCAGGGGCATTCTTGCTGTGAGGCAACAGCGCTAATCGCAGTCCAGACTGGACCAGTTGGCATTTCTGTGTAGAGTTTGCATGTTCTCCCCATGTTGCTGTGGGTTTCTTATGGGTGCTCCTGAGTCCAAAGCATACATGCAAACATTTTTCTCTGAAAGGAGGGGTTGGGTGGTGTATGCGTGTCCAGTACAAATCAGAGGCTTTACAGGGGCTGGAAAAAAGGTAGGGGTGAGTATGGAAGTGGAGCGACTGGAAGGGGTGCAAGGGATGCCTGGTCGTCCAATGCACCGGGCACCGGCTGCCATCGGAATAGTCAGCGATCCGGGGGTGTTATAGATTGTACCAAACACCATACGACCGGGGGAAGGGGGTGAAATTCTGAAAGTTTTCCAGAAAAAAATGACAAAACGAGTCTGAAGTACAGGGGACTACTGGGAAAAACGGGAGTGCTGGAAGGTATGGTCCAAAGACATGCGCTATAGGTGAATTGAATAAAGTAAATTGGCCGTAGTGTATAATTGTGAGTGTATGGGTGTTTCCCAGTACTGGGTTGTGGCTGGAAGGGCATTGGCTGTGTAAAATATATGCTGGAATAGCTGGCGGTTCAATCCGCTGTGGCGACCCCTGATAAATAGGAGACTAAGCCGAAGGAAAATGAATGAATGCACATCTGCTCACATATGGTCCTACAGTCTGCCGTTGTTTTGGTTGTCAAAGTAATTAGGTTTACAAATGGTATTAAGATGCGTTTTTGTCGAAAGTGGACAACATTTACAGGTGTAAACAGGGTGCAAAACATTTTGAATTTGCCCATTTTTGACTGCATCCAGAGGTGGTGCTGAAAAAGCATTGGACTGGATTGCTTTTATAGTGTGGACGCACATGTGGTTGAAAGTGCTTGAACAGCTGCCTGCTCTCCATCTGCTGAGCTCATTCATAAACCCGACGGGAAGTGCTGTAGAAGCGCACTGGAGAGATTTAAACTTGATTTTGTTTTGGATGCAAAAAAGTATAAAGAGGAACGTTCTCTTAACAGTGCTTGTATCTTTGTTTTTTGCAAAGATCAATTATCATCTGCTTCATTCTCTTAAAACAGCAGCTCTCAAGCAATGCCCATCAACTCATGTTTTTCATACTGTAAGATGCAGCTTTGTGAACGTTTTATTTATATTTTTATATTTATTTTGTTCTATTCGTAGCAACATTCAGGGATGCGATTTAAGCCTCAAAAACTTTGGATGATGTTGCGTTTTGGATGATCGGCCTTTTCATGTGATCAATTCCTGATCCTTTGCATGATGATTTTATTCAAAGACACTTCAATACAGTGCATCCGGAAAGGATTCATGGCGTTTCACTTTTTCCACATTTTATTTGTTACAGCCTTTAATCCCAAAGTGATTAAATTAATTTATTCTACACACAAGAGAGTTCTACACACAATACCCCATAATGACAATGTGAAAAAAGATTTTTTGAAATTGTGGCAAATTAATTAAAAATAATAAAAATAATAAAGTGCATGTCAAAGCACAAACCAAGCATGAAGACAAAAGAATTGTCTGTAGACCTCTGAGACAGGATTGTCTTGAGGCACAAGGCTGGGGAAGGTTATAGAAAAATTTCTGATGCTCTGAAAGCTCCAATGAGCACAGCGGCCTCCATCATCCGTAAGTGGAAGATGTTTGGAACCATCAGTACTCTTCCTAGAGCTGGCTGGCCATCTAAGCTGAGTGATCGGGGGAGAAGGGCCTTAGTCAGGAAGGTGATTAAAAACCCGATGGTCACTCTGTCTGAGCTTCAGTGTTCTTCTGTGAAGAGAGGAGAAATTTACAGGAGGACAACCATCTGTGCAGCAATCCACCAATTAGGCCTGTATGGTAGAGTGGCCAGACAGAAGCCACTCCCCACCTGGAAAATGCCAAAAGGCATCTGAAGGACTTTCAGACCACAAGAAACTAACTTCTCTGGTCTGATGAGACTAAAATTGAACTCTTTGGAGTGTCAGTGAATGTCCTTGAGTGGCCCAGCCAGAGCCCAGACCTACATCCTATTGAACATCTCTGGAGAGATCAGAAAATGGCTCTACAACGTCGCTTCCATCCGACCTGATAGAGCTTGAGAGGTACTGCAAAGAGGAAGACAGGCGTGCCAAGCTTGTGGCATCATATTCAAAAAGAATTAAGGCTGTAATTGCTGCCAAAGGTGCATCAACAAAGTATTGAGCAAAGACTGTGAATACTGATGTACAATACATGTGATTCTTCAGGTTTTTTATTTTAAATAAATTTGCAACAATTTCAAAAAATCTTTTTTTCACATTGTCATTATGGGGTATTGTGTGTAGAACTTTGAGGAAATAAATAAATTAAATTCATTTCGGAATAAGGCTGTAACATAAAAAATGTGGAAAAAGTGAAGCGCTATGAATACTTTCCAAATGCACTATAATAAGTATAAAACACAATATATCAAGTATAAATTAGCATTAACAAAGTGGGGTCACGTGACTGCACACATGGTAGGGAAAATAATTGAAAAAATGTACCTGAAAAAATTAGATCAATTATAGGTTCTGAACGTCGATTTTCGATTACTTTTCAATTAATCGCCCAGCCCTACCTTAGTACTGTATTCTTGACAGTAGACCTACTTGTACTGGTTGTTCTTGGATATGTTGTCCAATGTCATGTTGTCCTTTTGCTGTAACTGTTGTTAAGGTTGTTGTTGTTGTTTATTTCTCCATTCGTTTCTTTCTTTTGTTTGTAAATAAATAAATACTTCAATTTGTTGAATTTAAGTTACATTGCATTTACATGCCAACTAATTCTCATTAGATTATAAGTAGACTGTTAGGTTAGGGTAGTGTAAGTTGACATGTACTTGCAAAGTTTCATATAGTGAGTTAAATTTCTGTTTAGCAGCAGTATCAACAGATATAAAGTTGACAGTCTATTAATACTCCAATGGACCATCAAATAAAGTGTTACAATGTATATATGTGTGTGTGTGTGTGTGTGTGTGTGTGTGTGTGTGTGTGTGTGTGTGTGTGTGTGTGTATGATCGTGTATTTTCTCTTATTATACTTTGTTTCTATTTTTACATGTCACTTTTTAACATTCTGTAAACTAAACTAAACTAAACTAAACTAAACTAAACTAAACTAAACTAAACTAAACTAAACACCTGTCCACAGACCCTCACTCATCAGAGAAACATTTAAAAGCAGACAAAAGAGACCAATTTAAGGCAATGTATGAAAGATGATGTCTGCATCATCGTCGTTAGACAATTTCAAGAGGACTAAACACAGGGACGCCCCTAAGGGGTAGTTGTTGATATTGTTAATTTAAATGTACTTACATAAATTTCCAACATTTCAATAAATAAATCAATAAATAAAACACAGTCACTAAATTATTGTGGATTGATCAGCACCACCGATGTAACTGATTCACTGAGCTTGCACACTTTTTTATCTGTGTTTTATCTGATTGAAACAACCACAAATCCAAAATAAATAAATAAACAGATGCATTTGAAATCAGCGTTTCAGAATCTAGTTTATTTAGCAACTCCATTATTTTGCTGGTTGACTTAAAAGGGCCAAAAATCTCAATGATTTTGTGGGTGTGTTTTGCAAAAACATCAATAGAAGAATATGTATTAATATATTGTGGCTCAAAGAGGGACATGGATAAATGATAGAGTTAGGATCTGTATAGTAAGTGTGTGTGTGTATATGTAGTAATGTCTTTTGTTCAGTTTGTTCCTTTGTTTGTTTTTTTAATTAATTCATTAATCTTAATTAATTTTAGTCATGGCATATACTGTATGTTGTACAAAAAAGTATGTAAAAATAACTTACCTGAAAGGTATTTTTAAAGTAATTATTGATTTTTATTTGGTTTACTTGTTGAATTATTTCAAGGAATAAATTGCAATATTTCACGCCCAAGATTTGGTGTGGCCTTACTTGGCCACCCTTAAGAAAATTTTCTGGAGGCGCCAATGACTAAACAATCCACAGACCCCCATCCCTTAAAATGGGAGCGTATGCAAATACATCTTTGTTAATGACGTGCTGGCTTGTGTTTTACCGTGGAGCCAGCAATGTGGAACGAGTCCCCAGCGGGCTGATGAGGTGAACAGCCAGGTTTCCTCTGTGGTTATAGGAGAGCGTGAGTCTGGCCTGCACGTGCTCCAAAGAGCTCACAAAATCCGGCTGACCCGAACAGGCCTCCACACTTCTGCTGAATGTCAGGTGATTCTTTATGTCCCTACAACACAGAAAAAAACAGTCATAAGCAACTCCATGATGACTCGTAATTTTGCTGTCAATGAGTCCTCAAATGATGCCCTCTGGTTCCCCATGGGAAGCTGGCGTAAGTTGGCATTACAATGCAGTGTGTTGATGTATTGCCTGTGCTGCATGAGGTGTTTGACCGTCCTTACCTGGGCTCAGTCAGCATATTAATGACACATTTGTGCTGCGGCCCCATGCTGGTCCAGTTCTGGGCCAAAGCGACCATTGCAGTAGCATCCAGCAGACCGTAGCCGTAAGAATGGCTCACTGCCATATAGACATAGAAAAAGAGAGAGAGAGAGGTGGATAAAGCAACAAGGTCACTCTTGTTTACTGAATACATAAATGCAGCTCTCTGAATGGTTAATTAAACTGTCATTTACCTAATCGGCCCACACCATTGGTCCTCCAGTCGTTTGTTATTAGGTGGGCGGGACGTGAGGTTCTCACCACGAGATGCTGCATGTCTCTCCAGGTCAGGTTCATGCTGGATGGCGTAAGGGAATAATGAAATGTGATCCGGGTATTACATTGCGGCAGATTTATTTTTGCATTCAACAGATAATTTGCACATAATTATCCTCTTGGACGTGACAGGATGTCTCTTTGAAAGACACATAATTAAAGCTTTTCTTTTATCCGAGTCACAGAAAATTGCAAATGGAAATACTCCGTCCTGGGGGCCGTGCATCATTTTGCAATTACACAGCAAACGAGGTGCTTTTTTCCCAACTAAAGACCTGAAATTGTATTCCACCCGAAAACAGCAATATCAGATTCAATTTATTGCTGTATTTCCTTGGTTCACGACTCCAGCTTATTAGTTTTGTCGGTTGTTGCGCTACATAGCAGAAACAAGCATCTTTGGGACTCGTGGCCCTCATGGGGAAGGCTGAAAACCCCCTTCTCACTAGGATATTTCAGGGTAAACCAAGTCTGGAATTGGACATAAAGCACTGACGAAAATACCAGCAAGACAAGCCATTTCTAAACGGATGGATTCAGACGTGCAGTAGAAGACTATAAAACACATCCTGCTCTGGCGTTTGTGTATTTTTATAGGTGATTTATGAAGAGGTTGTTCTAATTCATACGCTTTCAATATTTCTGACCTCACAATAAATGGCTCAGCGGGCAAATTCATAATGTCAGCGTGCACGATTTATCAACCTAAAGGCACAGCACAGACGGAACAGTTTACGTTCAATGATTACTTGATGTAAGACTACTGCAATTCGCATGTTGTGCATGGGAAGAATAACACAGATATTGAACAGATATTCCTTTATTTTATAGATGAGGTGTCAGTCCGGGAGAAATCCCCAGAGGCTTTAAGCATGCTGGACTCAGCATCAGGAAATTAATGGACGGGCTAAAATAATACCAACAACAGCAGTATGGCTACACCTATGCAAAACAGCATTAGCTCACCCCTATTGTAATCAATAAGAAGTTCTGAGAGTTGCGTTCGGTTAGAAGACACTGACTTTTTTTCAGTCACTTATTTTCCTTGTTATTAATATTATACATTTACCGGCCACTTTATTAGGTATACCTGTACAACAGCTCGTTAACGCAAATCACATGGCAGAAACTTAATGCATTTAGGCATGTAGACATGGTCAAGACGATTTGCTGCAGTTCAAACCAAGAATCAGAATGTGGAGGAAAGGTGAATTAAGCGACTTTTAACGTGGTATGGTTGTTGGTGTAGGACGGGCTGGTCTGCTGATCTACTGGGATTTTCACGCACAACCAACTCTAGGGTTTACAGAGAATGATGTGAAAAAGACTAAATATTCAGAGAGCGGCAGTTCTGTCGGCATAAATGCTTTGTTGATGCCAGAGGTCAGAGGAGAATGGCCAGACTGATAGAAACCCACACCGGGTGTCACTCCTATCAGCTAAGAACAGGAAACTGAGGCTACAATTCACACATGCTCATTAAAATTGGACAATAGAAGATTGGAAAAACATTGCCTGGTCTGATGAGTTTCAATTTCGGCTATGACATTCGGATGGTACGGTCAGAATTTGGCATTAACAACATGAAAGCATGGATCCATCCTGCCTTGTATCAACAGTTCAGGCTGGTGGTGGTGGTGTAATGGTGTTGGGGTTATTTTCTTGGCACACTTTGGGCCCATTAGTACCAATTGAGCATCGTGTCAACACCACAGCCTACTTGAGTATTGTTGCTGACCATGTCCATCCCTTTATAACCACAGTGTACCCATCTTCTGATGGCTACTTCCAGCAGGATAATGCATCATGTCGTAAAGCGCGAATCTTCTCAGACTGGTTTCTTGAACATGACAATGAGTTCACTGTACTCAAATGGCCTCCACAGTCACCAGATATCAATCCAATAGAGCACCTTTGGGATGTGGTGAAACAAGATATTTGCACCATGGATGTGCAGCCGACAAATCTGCAGCAACTGCGTAATGCTTTCATGTCATTGTGGACCAACATCTTGGAGGAATATTTCCAGTACCTTGTTGAATTTATGCCACTAAGTATTAAGGCAATTCTGAAGGCAAAACGGGGTCCAACCCGGTACAAGTAAGGCATACCTAATAAAGTGGCCAGTAAATGTGTGTGTGTGTGTGTGTATATATATATATATATATATATATATATATATATATATATATATATATATATATATATATATATATATATGTTATATGTATAATTAAAAATCTTAATACAATAAAAAATCTTATAAAAAATCTTTTTAGGTAATACAAATTCATATATAATTTGAATTAAGAATATATAATTAACAATTACTGAAAAAACATATATAATAAATATGTAAATTAATGTTTAAAATAAAAAATATAAATATAACATATTTATTCATGATAATATATTAAATATATATTAAATAATAAAACTATAAAATAAATTAAAATATATACTAAACATATTAATAGAATGCATATAAATATGTATAAAACATAATTAAAAAACATACACACATACAGTATATAAACATATTTTTTTAAATTCCTGATATATATAAAATTTTCATCTCTCATCTGACCTAGCAACAGATCTGAAAGCATTTCAGTGAAAAAGGAATATGACTGCGTCTCTAGCACACAGAAGTTCAAAAGTCACCCGCAGCGCGCCATCACAAAGACTGCCAGCCATTAAAAAGAGTAGTGTTGTGACAGAAAGAGAATAGAGGTGGAGGTCCTTTTAAAAAAACCTCCCCAAAACGTCCCCGTCTCTTTCATTGTGAGGCAAGTGCGATCAAAGCCAACACCAGCGGGGTTTACAGCCCTAAACAGCAGGGGCCAAACTCAAACATGCACAAAAAGTGTGTGCAAACCAGGAGCCCATGTCTCCACCACACACGCAGACAAAGAAACGCTAGTGTGAGACGTGATTTCCATGTTTTATTACAGCCTCGCAGGATCAAATATGTTTTAATTGAGCATGATGATTTAATGTTGTATAGAGGGCCTCGGGGTCAAATGCAGTGTGTGAGCCGGCAGCCCATCTCTTATTTTTTCCGACAAGGAGTGTCAAGGTGATGCCTGAGTGTGTCGGAGGGCTGAAAATGATGCACGCGGGGTAATGAAGTCTAACCGCTGGTGGAGAATGATGGACAGGAGTGGCGAGAGCGTGTGCGTGTTTGTCTGTCCATAGAGACAGGTGTCAATGTTGTCATCACTCACTTGGCCTCCAGAGCGAGAGCGATGATTCCGGCGGCCAGGGGAGCCGATGCCGACGTGCCCGTGTGCGAATCTGTGCACTTCTTCCTCAGGTCTGTTGTTACCTGCACACACAAATACAGTTGAAGTCTAAATTAGTTGACAAATAAATGTATTAGTGTTTAACAAACAAGGAATGTTTCACAGTATTTCCTATAATATTTTTTCTTCTGGAGAATGTCTTATTTGTTTTATTTTGGCTTGAATAAAAGCAGTTTTTAATTTTTTAAAAACTATTTTAAGGTCAATATTATTTGCCTCTTAAGCATACATTTATTCATTTACTTTTCGGCTTAGTCCCTTTATTAATCTGGGGTTGCCACAGCGGAATGAACCGCCAGCTTATCCAGCATATGTTTTACACACCGGATGTCCTTCCAGCTGCAACCCATCACTGGGAAACACCCATACACACTCGTTCACACACATACACTACGGACAATTTAGCTTACCCAATTCACCTGTGCATCATGTCTTTGGACTTGTGGGGGAAACAGAGCACCCAGAGGAAACCTAACACTTAAATTGATTTTGAGTGTGGTAATTTTAAGTTTACATTAAATTGACTTTATTAATTAATTATCTATTAGTAATGTATTGTAGTAGAAGTACATTTTCCCACAATGTCTTTACATTTCATACATGTGCTGTAATGTTGCATCTTATTTATATTTTTGTGTTCTCAGTTTTTGCTAAGTTTTTGTTCCCTCCATAAGGTATTTTTGGACTTGTGGTTTATTGCACAAAAAGATTAAAGTGTTTTGATGAAGCACAGATGCTGTTTTCTTTGTACACACAGTATCCCTTCAAAATATATTCTTTAAATAAATGTTTAGTATGTTAAAAGCACATTTTAGATCAGCTTCATGGTGGCTCATAATAGCACAGTTGAGTACACTTAGATGTACTTAAGTTTATCTTAAAATGCACTTAATACTAATTTTAAGAACATTAAATACAAAAATTAATTTGGGAAAATAGAGCACTTTTAATACAGTATTTAGCACACTTTTTTTTTTTTACAATTTGTATATTCTTTTAATATATTACTATTATGCTTTAAATTAGTCATGAATATATTTAAATGTTTAAAATTAGGGTTCAAGTGTATTTCTAGTTGTTTAAAATACAGATATAGTATGTTAAAAGCATATTTTAGTTCAATTTCAGGGTGTCTCAAAATAGCACAGTTGAGTACACTTAAATGGTTAAAAGTTTATCTTAACATATACTTGATACTATCTTTTAGTACATTATTAAAATTAAAATAGAGCACTTTTAGTACATTATTAAAAAATATACTTAGTGTACTTAAACTGTATTTTAGCACACTTTTTTCACATTTTGTATATTATTTTTTTAATATATTACTATTATAATTTAAACTATTCTTAAATATATTTATAAACGTTTAAAATTAGGGTTCAAGCATATTTCTAGTTGTAACTAAATATATATATATTTTTAAAGTATAGATATAGTATGTTAAAAGCACATTTTAGTTCAACTTCAGGGTGTCTCAAAATAGCACATTTGAGTAAATTTAGATGGTATTAAGTTTCTCTTAACAAATGCTTAATACTATCTATTAGTACATTAAGTACAAAATTAGTGTGCGAAAATAGAGCACTTTTATACAATTCTGAAAAGTGTACTAAGTATACTTAAATAAAGTGCATTTTAGTGCACTTTTTTTTTTTTACCTGGGTTTGTAGGTATAGTGTATATACCGTCATGTTGGGGTGACAAAAACACACAGTCCTTTTTTTTCAGTTTAACAACATAAAAATGGTGGACCAATTGGAGCGGTTTTGAGATCGACCGCAACTTGACGTAGGAGTGCGGTTTCCCCGCCCACCAATATTGATTGACAGGCGGGCATTACTATATCCTCAGTTTATTGTTTCACGTCTGCCATTTTCAGCGTGTGAGTCAAAGCGATGTCACCAAAGAAACACCCTTGCTCTATTTTTAGATGTAAAGCTCATTGGGCTCAACACAAGATCAACATGGGTGAGGCAGTGGCACAGTAGGTAGTGCTGTCGCCTCACAGCAAGAAGGTCGTTGTTTCTAACCTCGGCTGAGTTGGCGTTTCTGTGTGGAGTTTGCATGTTCTCCCTGCCTTCGCGTGGGTTTCCTCCGGGTGCTCCGGATTCCCCCACTGTCCAAAGAAATGCAGTACAGGTGAATTGGGTAGGCTAAATTGTCCGTAGTGTATGAGTGTGTGTGTGAATGTGTGTGGATGATTCCCAGAGATGGGTTGTGGGTGGAAGGGCATCCGCTGCGTAAAAACTTGCTGGATAAGTTGGCGGTTCATTCTGCTGTGGCGACCCCGGATTAATAAAGGGACTAAGCCGACAAGAAAATGAATGAATGAACAAGATCAACATTCACCACATTGGGTCTTCCTTTAACTTCAGCTGTTTGCATTTCCCGCGGTAACAGAAGCTCCCTGTCTTCTTAACTAGGTGCAGCTAAAAAGTGTGAGCACGTTGTCTCGTGCGTGCGTCCTTCCATTGGAAATAACGAACTTGCCTTAACCAGGTTGCACACCAGAAGCGCTGCTCAGCGACGTGCAGAGCCATGCATTTTAGAATTCTAAACATAGGTTTCTAAAGTCGGTGGCTGTCCAAGGCGTCCAGCCACGACTCAGGACACTGTTCAAGCCAAGCCACAGAGTGCCATCTGAATAGTTTCACTTTAAATAACATATGAATTTGCGTTTCCCAGAGATAGGTTGCAGCAAAAATTCCAGTAAAATGCAATGGATAAGTTGGCGGTTCATTCTGCTGTGGCGACCCCAGATTAATAAAGGGACTAAGCTGACAAGAAAATGAATGAATGAATTTGCATGTCTGGAGTGCTGTGTCGCAGCTCTGAGCAGCGCATCCGCTGTGTGACGCCCTTTAGTTATAGCCTCAGTCAAAAGTAATTCAGTGTGCGTGGTTATTAGTCTCGGTGTACAAGCTCGGAACTTTAAACTAGCACACAGATGGCTGTAAAACTATACAAAAACACAAATGATTTTGTACTCTCTGCTTGGTCTGTGTCCGAGTCGTACATGTACTGCTATATTCTGGTCCTCTCACTCATGTTGCTTCTCTCTGTTTGCCTCTATGTTGCCATACACAAAGCGGGGGAGCTCTTGGCTCCGCCCCCTTGTTAAGTTAGGCGGGAAGTCGAAACTAGTTTTATTGTGAAGCAACACCCTAAAACAGCGACCTGTGTTGATGCCCCCAAATTGACACTTTTTAACACATTATATGAAAAATATCTGAATTGTGTTTCAAACTGAACCTGAACTGGCACACTCAGAAGAACCATAATATTAATATTAAATCTTAAAAAAGGGGTAAACTAGGTGCCCTTTAAACAGAAATTGGGGAAAAAATAATAATTCAGAAGGGCAAATAAATCTGACTTCAACTGTACCAGCTTAAACACTGCATTACACACAAAATAATCTTCTTTTTATCAAAAAAGTTGACCTCTCTAACATACTCTACAAAGCACAGATAGACAACATGATCAACTTAATTTAAATTTAGGGTAGTAAACCCTAAGTGGTAGGGTTAAAGATACTCAGGGTTAATTCTTCCATGTACATTGTGGCTGCTATACTACAATAAACTTCTTCATCGAGATCAACATCAATGGAAAGGTCAGGTGTGCTATTGGTCAGCCATCAGTAGAACATTGGTTGTAGCTATATATATATATATATATATATATATATATATATATATATATATATATATATATATATATGCATGTTGTCAGAGTGGGCGTCCATCAGCCAGAGGCACACGTCAAAGTGGCTAACAAAAAATATGACTCCTAGGGAAACTCATTCACCACAGTCACTGTGATGAGACGTGTGACAGCTCGTGAGACTTAATAAGCTGGCACCTCAAACATGAGGGTTTGGGCTTTTAATCATGCCGTAGGAGACGGTGCGTGATTGACAACGGTCAGGACAAAAGAACGTCCAGCCTGAGGCTACAAAACCTCCAGGTGAGCACGCACCCCCATTCTTTCTCCGTCATTGTTTTATTCATCTCTGTCTTGATTTAAACACATACGGACACGCAAAATCCACCTCAGTGCTGTCGGCAAGATTGCGTCCATTTTTAAATTGAATCTGTTATTGCCTTTGTCATCCTAATGGAACAGGAGTCTCAGAAGAGGGAGAGCGGGAGCTATCGCAGTCACACATACTGGGACAGGCTTGACATCAAGCAAACAAACACTCTAAAGCTGTCCGAAACATCTCGGATGAGCTTCAGTGAGCTGGCAGAGATAGACCTGCCTGCCGAGTCTGAAATCACTTTCCTAGGGATGAGCATATCAGGGATTCAAACTGAGTTTGGATAACTACCCGCAGCACAAGAAATCCTATTTTCCCCCTCAATGTGAGTGTGGGTTTAAGGGAACTGAGTTAAATCTGTTTACGTTTTGAATCAGTTTGAACATCTACAAACATGCCCACATAGAAAGCTGATATAAGGCAATATATGCAAATTACATATATGACATTCATATTTAGATTTTACATATATGAAATATGTCATATACTGTGAAACATGATTTCGAAATGCTGAAAAAATTAGCCACACACACACAAACACAAGGATGGATATATATATATATATATATAAAAAGACTGCACAATATATCACTTTAGCATTGATATTACTTGTGTTTGTAAGGTCTGTTAACTGTGAATTAAATCATTTAGGCATAAAAAATAAATAATGAAAGTACATTTTATTGAATTATTTATATGATGAAGGCTATGCATCCAATGACCATGTCATTTTACATTTAATTATTCAATATATTTACCTTAATACTTATAGATTGCTCAGAAACCCATAAAGCACTGTTTATTTCACTTATTCTTTGCTCCATTGTGTTTATTTATGACTGTAGTTTGGTTATTATGTATATAAGAAATAATATAAGAATATATATATGTTAATTTTGATGTAATTCTGACTTTAACACTTCCCAATTCTGACTTTTATTTGTTGTAATTCTGAGTTTAAGTTTCCCAATTCAAACT